GTGTCGTTTGAGAAACCAGAATACACTGCTCTCTGCACCAACTGATCAGTTTAACCCAATTGATGTAGACAGATTCAATCCACAAAACCTGATCACACCATGAGTGTGTATGTGTAGGACAGAGATTATGATAAGCATTGGCTGAACCACAATTCTGCTGACAAGTCAAATATGCTAATCTATAATCTGCCCTTTAAAGGCACCCAAGCGGAGTGTGCTCAATTTCCCAGACCAAACAAACCTACAGTGAGGGGTGAAGAAACAAACCGATCATCATGAATGGCACAGAGGGACCAGACTTTTACGTTCCGATGTCCAATGTGACTGGTGTGGTGCGCAGCCCTTATGAATACCCGCAATTCTACCTGGCCTCACCGATGGCATTCTACTGCGTCGCTGCATACATGTTCTTCCTCATCGTGACCTGCATTCCCATCAACGGCCTCACATTGTACGTGACCATTGAAAACAAGAAGCTTCGAACCCCCCTGAACTACATCCTTCTGAACCTAGCTGTGGCCGATCTCTTTATGGTGTTTGGTGGATTCACGACTACCTTCTACACCTCCTTACATGGATATTTCGTCCTAGGACCTGCCGGCTGCAATCTGGAGGGTCTCTTTGCTACTCTCGGTGGTGAGATTGCGCTCTGGTCTCTGGTTGTCTTGGCTGTTGAGAGGTGGGTGGTCGTCTGCAAGCCCTTCACCAAATTTCGCTTCACGCAACTCCACGCCACCTTGGGTGTCGCTTTTAGTTGGATAATGGCCTGTTCGTGTGCCATACCGCCTCTAATCGGATGGTCCCGCTACATCCCTGAGGGCCTGCAGTGTTCATGTGGAGTGGACTATTACACGTTGAATCCGGAGACTGAGAACGAGTCTTTTGTCATCTACATGTTCGTCGTGCATTTCTCAATTCCTCTCACCATCATTTCTTTCTGTTACGGCCGTCTGCTTTGCACTGTCAAGGTCGCAGCTGCCCAGCAGCAAGAATCGGAGACTACCCAGAGGGCTGAGCGAGAAGTTACTCGAATGGTAATCCTCATGCTCATCGCTTTCCTAATATGCTGGGTCCCCTATGCCAGCGTCGCCTGGTATATCTTCACCCACCAGGGGAGTCAATTCAGTCCCATTTTTATGACCATCCCGGCATTTTTCGCCAAGAGCTCAGCGCTCTATAACCCGCTCATTTATGTCTTCATGAATAAGCAGTTCCGTCACTCCATGATGTTAATACTGTGCTGTGGAAAAGATCCTTTCCAGGATGAGGAGGAAGGAACTTCCACCTCGAAGTCCAAGACAGAGACCTCATCTGTCCCCAGCTCTGAATCTTCTGCCTGAGGGTCATGCTCTAGGCTTTTTGCAGAATATACAGCTCAGCTGCCTGCAACCTATGAAAGCTATATCCCTGTATGGACATATGGAAAATTCTGGCATGGCAGATAGAGTTGTATACTAATATTTCAGTGGACAGACATTTCAGTACAGCTCAGACTGTGGATGGGAATACATAATTATCTGTATGAGCAATTATTATTATTATTATCATTATGGTGACACTTTCTATGAAGCCCATTTTTATAAGACATTATAAAGGTATTCTTAAGGCATTGTAATAAATGCATAATGTATTATAAAAAAAAACTTATAATATGTTGTTTCATCTCATATATAATCATAACAACAATTATAACGCATTCTAAAACATACTTCTTTGTGGTTATAACTTTTATGAGTATGATTATTTATAACACGGAAAATTCTGGCATGGCAGATAGAGTTGTATACTAATATTTCAGTGGACAGACATTTCAGTACAGCTCAGACTGTGGATGGGAATACATAATTATCTGTATGAGCAATTATTATTATTATTATCATTATGGTGACACTTTCTATGAAGCCCATTTTTATAAGACATTATAAAGGTATTCTTAAGGCATTGTGATAAATGCATAATGTATTATAAAAAAAAACTTATGTTGTTTCATCTCATATATAATCATAACAACAATTATAATGCATTCTAAAACATACTTCTTTGTGGTTATAACTTTTATGAGTATGATTATTTATAACACACACTAAACACCATGTTAAATCCACTTCATTTATAATGGATTATGTCTCATATCTTGACATTATTTATATAAGATCTGTACAGTATCTTACTACCTTACTGATATTACAATAAATATAGTTAAAATCAAATGTGCCCTATTACACATTCATCTGATCAGATATCTGAAAAATATTATTTTATTATCATTATTGTTGTTGTTATTATTTATAAGTGGTCTTTGTCTGCTTTAAGTTAAGCTTTAAGTAAAATAAGTTAACAATGGCAAGATGAGTTATATCTATGGGAAATATAATCCATTGTAAGTTAAGTGGATGCATTGTGTTCATTGTGTATTATACTTATTTGTGGTTATAACTTTTATGAGTATGATTATTTATAACACACACTAAACACCATGTTAAATCCACTTCATTTATAATGGATTATGTCTCATATCTTGACATTATTTATATAAGATCTGTACAGTATCTTACTACCTTACTGATATTACAATAAATATAGTTAAAATCAAATGTGCCATATTACACATTCATCTGATCAGATATCTGAAAAATATTATTTTATTATCATTATTGTTGTTGTCATTGTTGTTGTTATTATTTATAAGTGGTCTTTGTCTGCTTTAAGTAAAATAAGTTAACAATGGCAAGATGAGATTTATAATACATTATAACTATGGGAAATATAATCCATTGTAAGTTAAGTGGATGCATTGTGTTCATTGTGTATTATAAATCATCATAATCTTAAAAAGCTATAACCACAAATAAGTAATTATTATAATGCATTAAAACTGTTGTTATGATTACTCATGAGATGATACAACATATTATAAGCAGTATATTAAGCAGCACGACTGTTTTAACATTGATAATAATAAGAATGTTTCTTGATCTGCAAATCATCATTAGAATGATTTCTGAAGGATTGTGTGCCAATGAAGACTGGAGTAATGGCTGCTGAAAATTCAGCTTTGCCATCACACAAATAAATTACATTTTAAAATATATTAAAACTGTATAATTTAGTTTCATGTAGTATAATGTAGTTTCATGAATTTGAGCAGAATAAATAAAACTGCTACATAGCACCAATATATTAAGTATAAGTAACATTATAGCTGAACATTGATTGTTGTATTTATTCTCAGTGTTACCTTATACCAGCTGCAAAAGAATGTGTGCTAAATAGGACTGAGATCAATAAAAGTGTTCAATTAATTAAAGAACCACTTTTTTATTAAATGTAAAGGGCAATGTAGGTTTTTATACTTAATATTAATATTATTTACTGCACTTTATCTGCTGAAATCTAGACTTCAAATTTGAACAGTTCATTACAAAACTATGAAAAATGTCTGTTTCCTACAATACTCAAGTCAAACACGACACTGACTGACAAATGCAACTACAATCAAATGCACTGTCTGTCATGTGAGCAAGGGAAATTAAACATTTAAAGTCTAATCAATGTTTCCTTGATTTTTATTGCCGTTTTAAGGTTTTTGCGCCATGCTCTCTGGAAACAAATGCCTATGAAACTCTGTAAAAATGACCTTGAGGTAACTAAGCAACCCAGAAACCTCCTACCCTCCCCCTGCTGTACAGCAGAATACAAATTCAAACCTGCATAAACAGAAGAGAAGTGCACAAATACTAGCCTAGACAGACAGACAGACAGACAGACACTCTATTGCACGGCACAATGTTCTTTATTCAGAAATGGATGTGGGGAAGTCAGCATACCTTTGCACGCTATGAAAGCAATGTGTCTGTAGCTTACGTCACTCCAATCCTTTTTTTCATTCTCCAAAATGTAGGCCTTCTATTCATGGATGCAGCAGTGGGACTAAAATGAGGTCAAAATAACAGCCATTCACACCAGGTTGCTCAACTAACACTATGTCATTCCAGGAATTAATCAACTACTTTATCTTTTGCCAGATATTAGAGAGCTTTCAGTGGCACATTGTTTTTCTGGACAGTCACCTTTTCGTGTGTTCTACCTTTTAAATATTTTGCTATAGACCAAGTTGTACAAGCATTAACTAAATAGTTTTAACCCCTAGATTTTGTTGTACAAACATAGAATTCGCTTAAATTTGAATAAAAATACATAAACAAAGGCCTTCAAAACACATTTCTTGGCCAGTAATGTTTATTTTCATGTTGTTGAAGTGAGGACATACTAATTCCCTATGATCCCTTACCACTCTATCCCTACTACGGCTGTAGAGAACAAAGTTCTCCTGACGCACTTCACTTTTTATGCATTCACATCATTCTCTTTAAGCCAGAGAGAAAGGCTCAGTCTCTTATTCAGCTGATAACCTGAGAGAAGTCACTGGATTTTTAAAAAGCTGTCGACTCCGTGGGTAGTGTATTGAATCTCTTTTCCTTCACCTTTTGAACTGCCAAGAAGATAGAGAAGTCTTTGTTCTCTCCTCCTCTTTATTTTCCAGACATGTTGGCAAAGTGTTAGAGAAGAACCTATAGTGCAGTTAAACAGTCTCTAACTCCCACATGCATCCATCTTGAATAAATATCGCAGTCCAAGTTATCCTCTGCTTGACCCGCTAACTAGCCTATTTCCTTTTTTTGTGGGAAGCTTGAGAATCATAAGACCATCAAAATGTGTATATATATACTGTTTTTATTTTTTTAACATTATCATCATAGTTTTTATTTCATTATCCCTTCATTCTTTTAAAATGATCACCTCTGAATGTACACACTGCAAACTGTCAAAAATATACAAACGAATGCAGGCTTGTGCTATACTCTGGTCAAATGTCTAAAAAACAGTGGCACTGGGGAAGAGAAAGAAAATAAAAGAGAGAAAAGACATTGAAAGTGTAAAGACATGCACAGTATATGTCTGAGCACCACGTTGACTGAGCTGCTCGGTGCATGAGAGGGCTCTCTGTAACAGAAGTTTTCATAATCAGACAGTAGTCCAAAAGGCTGTCCTTTGTAAAACAAAACGAAAGAAAAACAAAAAAGAAAACACCAAGAATGGTACTGTTAGGCACATAATCGTTTTCTTTATACATAGTTGTCAAACTCTGTAGAACTGCTAGCAGATTTATAAAAAGGGTCATAAAAGAAACCAAAATGACACTTCGATGGAAAGAAACAAACTCATTCTTCTGCTGTTGAGAGTTGTAAAGAGGTTCAACCATGAGAAAACACCAGATTTCAAATCAATAATTTAGTATTCAGGTTCTGCGCAGTCCTTGGATGAAGGCTTGTGTGGACAGTGGGTTCTGGGAATGGTGTCCTTCCTAGCCGACCCATCAGATGCTGAGGTCTTTGGGGCTGTCTTTGTAGGCCTTCCTCCTCGACTCAGGTACATTGTTGTTAGCTCTACTGTAATTGGATCTGAGCGTGCTATAATACTCACTCAGCTGAGATCCGACCTCCTCTTCATCCTCATCGCGGTAACCTCTGATGGGAGACAGGTCTCGACTTAGACTCCTCGTCCGGTACGAGTTTGAAACCGGAGACTCGTCTCGACGGTATCCGTCCTGTCTGCCCCCACTTCTCACTGGGGAGCGGCCCCTTAATAACGAGTTGTAGTTCTGAAAGGCTGAATCCGAGTCGGGCGTCCGAACACGGGGAAGGGTGTCGATGCGAGAAGTCCCGCGGAAAAGGGTTGAGTCGCGATAGGCTCGGTCCATAGGGGAAAGATCGTCAAGGTAGCTGGGCGGCTCTCTTGGAAGGGTGTCTTCCAGATCGAGCTGGCCCAGGGATGCCGCCAAATGTGGAATGCTCTCGGATCGGTATGGAGGTTTCGGAGGAGGTTCTTTTAAGGTCACATCCAGCCCCCTGTCCAACTCACCGTTGTAGGGTTTATTTGAGGAAGCTGTAGGCCGCCTCGAGGGAGACTGGTATCTGGATCGTTGAGGGGAATGGTAGGGGGATCTACGGCGGTAAGGAGAACTGCGGCGATAACCTGATCGGTGGGGTGAACGCTGAGGTGAACTGTGTCTGCGAGGAGAAGAGTGGCGATGATGGCGTCTATTCGGTGAGCGACCGTGTCTCTGGTCGTACCGACTGTCCAAGGTGTTCTCGGCGCTCCGAGCTCTACGCCTCTCTGGGGAGCGGTGCCTCCGGTGATGGTGGTTCTGGTTGTGAGTGTGGTGGTGGTGGTGGTGGTGTGAGTCATCTGTGCTGGACCTCTTCTTGTCGCCCTTCCTCTTGTGAGGCTTTGAGGCTCCACTGTCCTTGCTGTGCCCCTTGCTCCTGTTCTTCTTTTCAGGGGAGCGGTGTCTGTGGTTGTTGTGGCGGTGGTTTGACCGGTGGCCGTGCTCCCGTTGGCCCGACTCCCGTGCCCTCCTGTCGTCATTTCGTGATGATTTGTGAAGGTCTGGTGGATAGCTGGACTCCGATGGTGGGTGGGGCCGACTTTCGGGAGGAGCTGTGTTCACTTCCGAAACAGTTTGTGCACCGGCGCCGAGGCCGTTGCCGTCGTTGATGCCGTCTGTAAGATATGAGTAATTATGGGTGAACTCAGTTGTCACATACTGCCTGAACATGTATCATGTTTGTAATGGATTGTGAATGTGTCTTTATTATTATTATATTTTCAAAGCTCTTATTGGTTAAGCTGCTACCATGACTAGACTGCCTTGCCCCCATTAAATACGTTTACATGCACTTTAAAAGTCTGGTTTCAGTCAGACTAAAACAACAGTCAAGACTGGAATCCACTACATGACTTTTGTCCAGATTTCTTTTTCAGGCTGGAGGAGTCGGAGCTTGTTGACGAACGTCAAAGCCAATTTGCAGATTTTGGTCAGTCGGACTTGACAGATTTCACAGAAAAGTGAATGATTGGCAGAGACTTGGCATTGCACTTCGAAAGGCAGAGGTGATGCGTGACCTTTTTTTTAGTATTTCAAATATTTGCCATATACTTGGACAGACAAATGATGACTGGAGTTTGACTGTGCAAAAATCTGTTGTAACTGTGCATGTTAACGTACTTATTGATTCTGTTCCTACACTAAGCAACCATTAAGAACAGGTTTAGTGCTGATGCAAATAATGAACTCATGCAACTGATGCTTTTAAAATGCTGTTTCAAATGTTTAAATATCCAAACATAATGGACTGGTTTGAGACAGGCATGTCTGTATGATTAGAAAAATGGATGTAACAAACCTGAGGCAAAACTTGCAGGCAAACCTTTCTGTTCCCACGACTCTTATCTGAGGTCAAAACTAACATTGTACATTGTAAAAGCACTTTTGAGCTACATATTTTCTTTTCTTTTTTTTAATGAGAGAAACCTAACATGCTGAAGATAGACAAGGATCCAAAGAGTCAAAGAAGTTTTACCTGTACCAGTTAATGGCTTTGGTGGGTGGCAAACGACGACGAAAAAAAAAATAAAAGAAATGCATGACAAAAAAATAAACAACACCCACTTAAAAAAAATTGCATTCACTGATGAGGTTTAACAATTCATCTTTGGGGATGTCGGCAAACTTTAAATGCAAGAATGAACCCACTCATTCAGATCACAATGTCAGGAATGGCCACAGGACTGGCAATGCATTCTTTGTAAATGAACTTGCAAGAGACAGTACAGTTGAGTGGAAGCCACAGCACAGAAAACTGCCAGATATGTGATGAGACGGAACACAGGATCTACAAACCGTGGTCTGATTTTGGTAGAAAGCAGGCTCTCCTGTCTTTTCAGATCTCATACAAGCAGCGACTTGGGGAGCAACCATCGCTAGGGGTGGAAGGAAGAGCCCAGAACAACAGAAAAGGATAGATAAAAAAGAAGAGAGAGAAGCAGAGTATTTAGATCCCTTAAACAGTCGTGAGAGAGTTATGCTCTTTTGCAATGGAAACAGTGTTTATTTTATCAATTAGTCAAAGATAGAGATTGTCCATAAAACGCCTCCACCCTTGAGTGAAAAATCAACAGTAACAGAGAGAGCTGGAACCAAACGCATACACAGACACACACACACACACACACACACACTGTAATTATATATACGTATATATATATATATATATATATTTATATATATATACGTATATATATATATAAAATTCAGTTTAAGACCACTCATATAAATAATAGCTACCTATCATAACTAATCCTTGGGCAATCCTTTTAGGTGATATAATGAATAAGTCCAGATCACTCAGTTTCAGATTCTTAAGTATGATTAAATCATAACACGTATGTCCTGATTTATAGCTGCACATACCCCCATCTTTCCGTTTCGCACGGCTGCTCCGTCCTCTGCTAGTCTCAGCACATACAGGTCCATGTTGTACTCTCGACCCCCTCTAAGGCTGAAACCAAAGCCTTTATTGTCCCTCTCCTGGCAATGCATTCTTTGTAAATGAACTTGCAAGAGACAGTACAGTTGAGTGGAAGCCACAGCACAGAAAACTGCCAGATATGTGATGAGACGGAACACAGGATCTACAAACCGTGGTCTGATTTTGGTAGAAAGCAGGCTCTCCTGTCTTTTCAGATCTCATACAAGCAGCGACTTGGGGAGCAACCATCGCTAGGGGTGGAAGGAAGAGCCCAGAACAACAGAAAAGGATAGATAAAAAAGAAGAGAGAGAAGCAGAGTATTTAGATCCCTTAAACAGTCGTGAGAGAGTTATGCTCTTTTGCAATGGAAACAGTGTTTATTTTATCAATTAGTCAAAGATAGAGATTGTCCATAAAACGCCTCCACCCTTGAGTGAAAAATCAACAGTAACAGAGAGAGCTGGAACCAAACGCATACACAGACACACACACACACACATATATACGTATATATATATATAAAATTCAGTTTAAGACCACTCATATAAATAATAGCTACCTATCATAACTAATCCTTGGGCAATCCTTTTAGGTGATATAATGAATAAGTCCAGATCACTCAGTTTCAGATTCTTAAGTATGATTAAATCATAACACGTATGTCCTGATTTATAGCTGCACATACCCCCATCTTTCCGTTTCGCACGGCTGCTCCGTCCTCTGCTAGTCTCAGCACATACAGGTCCATGTTGTACTCTCGACCCCCTCTAAGGCTGAAACCAAAGCCTTTATTGTCCCTCTCCAGATCAACAGAGTAAAACTCAGCATCCTAAAACACAAACAAATACAGGCCAAGGTCAGTGATGAATCTATAATAGTGTTTTTTTTTTCATCTAAGCTCCCATTTCAGCAGAGGAAATGAAAGCCACCTGCAGGAAAGTCACATATACTTGACAGCAGAAGCATCAGAGGAATAGCTTAAATAATTGATCTGACTCTGATGGTATTTTAGGTAGGGAGGGAAGGGCTGGACAGGGCCTTCACGAGGTACCAACACATTAAACGTTCAATAACCACCTTAGAATCAGGGAAGCTCAAGTGTAAAATGAGTCATAATGTGTTTCACAAATTGGCTTTGGTGTTTCAAACATTTTGCCTTGTTTTGTTTTTGACAGTTTGTCCAACTACTGGCATGCCCCCTCTCAGAGGACCAAACATCTAAAGCAGATGGCAGTGTGAGGAATGGAGTGAGCGATGTACCTGATTTGAAGGCTGTGTTGGAGCTGGAGGAGGTGGTGCTTGTGGGGCTTTGAACTCAAAAGACTCCTGTTTTGGTTTGGTGTTGTTTCTAGGGAAAAAGACAGAGACAAAACTTTTGTAAAATTATGAGCACTGACATATAGCAGCCCCCAAAAAAGATTTAAAAATGTCTAAATGTCACTGCGTAAAGAAGTAGTTTGTGCTCACAAAGGCTGCATTTGTTAAAACACAGTAACAACAGTAATATTGTGAAATTTTAATAACATTTATTATAAAAAATATTGAAATATTTCATATTTAATATATAATTTATTCCTGTGATGGCAAAGCTGAATTTTCAGCAGCCATTACTCCAGTCTTCAGTCTCCTTCATAATCATTCTAATATGCTGATTTGCAGCTCAAGATACATTTCTTATTAGATCACAATGTCAGGAATGGCCACAGGACTGGCAATGCATTCTTTGTAAATGAACTTGCAAGAGACAGTACAGTTGAGTGGAAGCCACAGCACAGAAAACTGCCAGATATGTGATGAGACGGAACACAGGATCTACAAACCGTGGTCTGATTTTGGTAGAAAGCAGGCTCTCCTGTCTTTTCAGATCTCATACAAGCAGCGACTTGGGGAGCAACCATCGCTAGGGGTGGAAGGAAGAGCCCAGAACAACAGAAAAGGATAGATAAAAAAGAAGAGAGAGAAGCAGAGTATTTAGATCCCTTAAACAGTCGTGAGAGAGTTATGCTCTCAATCAATGGAAACAGTGTTTATTTTATCAATTAGACAAAGAGAGAGATTGTCCATAAAACGCCTCCACCCTTGAGTGAAAAAACAACAGTAACAGAGAGAGCTGGAACCAAACGCATACACAGACACACACACACACACACACACACACACACACATACACACACGTGTGCACACATCCTCACCCAGCAGCAAATCAACCCAAAGACAGTGAGATGTGGATGCCGGAACAAGCTTATGTGCACAAACACACACACACACCATATGAAGCAGTTTACATTGCAAACAGAAAGAAAAACAAAAGTGGTGAGACGTGGAAGAGAAAAATGAGAAAAACAAGTACAAAATGGTATAAAAATATACAACCTCACAGAGATATCATGTTGGTGCAGGAAAGGACACATTATATCACATTCTGAACTTGACAAAATACATGAATGAGCATCTTTAAATGGTCAAGACCGAAAACAAAAGCATCAAAAATAACTGTTGCAAATTAGTACATGAATTTTCCATAAATATTATGGAAATTGACAAGAAAAAAAAAACACATTTAGATATTCACTGACATCATGCGGCACTGACATTATGCTCAATAAGTGAGTTGCTTTCTGTCTGTAAATGAAAGGATGTAACGTCCGATAACAATCCGTTGAATACAAAAAAAAATCGATAATGGAATGTGCAGTTTAAGAAAAAACCATCTGCAAAGTTCGCAAAGAAGCAGTTGACATGTACAACATGCAAAAAGATCCATGAATATGTAGAATACAGTATTGTGAGTGAAATGGCTAATGATACCAGAATGCGCTGTAGTCATGAAGTCTCCTTAAAGACCCTTCTCAGTAGCTTACATTCACCTTCAATAAATATCATAAATATGTTACAACTCACTGACATGGTCATGCCACCTCAGTGGAGGGCATGACAGAGTTTATCATATTTTTTTTCCCTCTGAAAAACAATAAACGTATATCCAGTTTTAGAAACGTTAATATTTCTGCTTCCTCGCTTTGTGTTTTTTTTTTTTTATTCTTGTGAAGTATTATGAAAAGCATGTGCCACAACCACCACCCAAAAGCCACATGTCCCATAGTCCCTAGGCTAGCCCAGTGCACAGAGGCAAGGGGGGCAACAGCAGCAAGTGGAAGGCCCATCACCCAGGAGGAAGTCAGAGGAGAGGGCCAGTGTGCAGAAAAGAAGAGGTGGTGGTGTTGCCGACCCCTGTGGGGGAACTCCTCAAGGGGTGAAGACAGGGGAGAAGGGGATGTTCTCATAGATTGACCCACCATATTCTGGCACAGAGCCGTCCCCCCTCCTTAGGACCAGGTGAACTTTTCGGCCACCGTTTTTGATCAGTTCAATGGCACGGGCGTGCTTCATGCCCTTGGTGCTCTCCCCATTGATCTCCAGGATCTCATCTCCAACCTAGATAGAGAGAGAGAGAGAGAGAGAGAGAGAGAGAGGACATGGAGAGCATAAAAATAAGGCAGTGGAACCTATATTTAGCAGTGACATCCAGTAAACACCGTCATGCACAGAGAAAGCTAAAGATGAAGAAGAAGGTAGAATTTCCTTTGTTCTATTTTCTTCTCTGCCTCTGGTTAGCTGTCAGAGCTTATCGTCAAGGGAATACCCATTTCCACAAAAATGGGTCTTTGGCTGACAACTCGCTGCGCTTCACAGAGTCCCTGCACTACTATCCTCTCATCTAACTTGCAGAGCTTAGAATGGGGGCTCTGCATTTCATTTGTTAGCATTGATGCTAACAGACAGCTAATTTCTCTAATCTTATTTAATTAAAAACCTACAGTTTAAGAACACTTTTAAGATAACTATGGTGATACTCTGATTATAGAATTTGTTGTGGGTCATTCTGATGGAGGACAGCAGAAACAATGTTGAAAGCAAATAATAAAATGCAACTAACTGTTTAATCATGCATAGTTAGGAGAGCAAATTATCAACATTTTAATTAATGAATTAATGAATAAAGAATTTTAATAAACAACTAATTTTGGGGCATCCATTTAGGTGATATAATGAATATAATAGCCAGATAGTCTATTATAGAGATAGTCACTCAGGATAATATAATATAATATAATATAATATAATATAATATATGTTGCATTTATAAAAAACATTCATCTGTCACTTAAAACAATATTTTGGTGTTGTTTCTAGGGAAAAAGACAGAGACAAAACTTTTGTAAAATTATGAGCACTGACATATAGCAGCCCCCAAAAAAGATTTAAAAATGTCTAAATGTCACTGCGTAAAGAAGTAGTTTGTGCTCACAAAGGCTGCATTTGTTAAAACACAGTAACAACAGTAATATTGTGAAATTTTAATAACATTTATTATAAAAAATATTGAAATATTTCATATTTAATATATAATTTATTCCTGTGATGGCAAAGCTGAATTTTCAGCAGCCATTACTCCAGTCTTCAGTCTCCTTCATAATCATTCTAATATGCTGATTTGCAGCTCAAGATACATTTCTTATTATTATCAATATTGTGCTGCTAACATTTTTGTAGAAAACATGATACAGTTTTTCAGGATTCTCTGATGTATAGAAAGTTATAAAGAACATCATTTATTTTTAAATACAAATATTTTGCAAGATTATAAATGTCTTTACTTTTACTTTTCCTGCTGAATAAAGATATGAAACCAGTAAAAAGCTCTAGTATCAACAAGAGATACCACCTGGTTTGATTTTTTGTTATGAAATGAAGTGTATTCATTTTTAAATGTGACTTAAATGTCCAAATACATTTTGAAGCCACTTTACATTTTTAATGGAATGGTCTGATGTGATTTTCTTTCCTAAATAAATAATGAGCAACCATTAAAAATATGACATGAATTAAATAACTTCCAACTCCTCTTTTAATCCAACTCAGTATGGCTGTAATTGTTGAGTTCAGTGTACCTTGGCTCAGGTGCAGTTTGCTGTTGAGGTGTGTGTGTGGTAGTTATGGTTGCAATCTTCTCAGCGTTGGTCAGCAGTGATGCATTGGAAGACTCTGCGGGAGGAGGAACATCACAAATGTTAAGGAAGATAGAGAAGCCTCCACATTATTACCCATAATGCATCTGCAGTGTGTAAGTGTACCCTGTGGACCACGTATCAGAGGCCCATTTTCCATTTATCAAAACATCAGCACTAGTGCACTGTGTAAGCGCACTCCAGCTGGGCAGCAGGAACAACGGCACATTCATCATTCTGGCTGTAGCTTTCGTCTCACAGATTACATTATAGCATAATGCCCAAAAACCATGCAAAGCCAAACACTCAATTTCCCTCTTCTGTTCCGTCTGTGATCACATATCACAATCTACCCTCACATTAACAATTACTACAGCTTGTGTTGAAGGGATAGATGCATATTTTCTCTACCATTTATTCCCCCTCACATCTCTATGGTTTTTCGATGGAACATAAATAAAGATATTCTAAAGAACGTTAATGCTGCACTTTGTGAGTTTGAATTCAATTTCAGACTTGAAAAAGAATATCAGATTTATCGTCAATAATGATTCCATTTTTGAACCAGATTGAAATAACCACAATTTTTTATGTTTTTCAAAGAAGTCTCTTATGCTCATCAAGCCTGCATTCGTTTGATCAAACATATAGTAAGACTGTAATATTCTTGAAATCTTATAACAATTAAAAGTAAATGTTTTCTATCGAAGTATTTATTTTAAAATGTAACTTTTTCCTTTGTTGGCAAAGCTGAATTTTCAGCAGTCATTACTCCAGTCTTCAGTATCATATGATGATTTAGAAATCATTCTAATAGACTGTTAATAAACAGTTTTTGCTGCTTAATATTTTTGTGGAAACCATGATACATTTAGTTTTTCCTTTGGTGAATGGAAAATAGCATTTAGTTTAAAAAGATCTTTTGTAACATTATAAATATCTTTATTCTCACTTTTGATCAATTTAGTGCATTCTTGCTGAATAAATGTATTAATTTCTTTTTTTTTTTTTTTATCTTACTTACCCCAAACTTTTGAATTGTATTGCATCACAAGTTTCCATTAAAATATTAAGCAGCAAAAACTGTTTTTAAAACTGGTAATAATAAGAAATGTGGGCACCATATCTTGAGCACCAAATAAGCATATTAGAATGAATTCTAAGCAGCTTGAACATCCTTTAAAACATCTCCTTTTGCCCATCTTTGTGTGAACTATTAGTTTAATTGATCACGGATCATTTGCTTTGACTGCATCAGCCTAACTCTTAAGTCAGCTGTCACCAATGAAATGTGGGCTGCTGTTGCTTGCGCTCAAAGCTGCTTTAATTCCACCCCACTGGGCAGTCACTGTGGGATAGAGAGGGAACTTTGATGAGTGCACAGCCCGTGAATCCCACCGTCTTAAAATAGCCCTTCCCCATCACTCTGTTGGGAACACACTTGCCTCATCTCATGGTTTTCTCTTTTTTTATTCCTATTTTCTCCACTCAGAAAGCACAAGAAATGCACAAATGAAAAATTATGCATAAATTAAGCACAGAAACCAGAAAGAAACCAAAAGACTACAGTTTATTAACTGCAGTAAAGTAAAAAAAAAAAAAAAAGCATATAATTTTCCAGATTTCAATCTGTTATTTATATATAAAGTGACTTATAAGCTGTAAAAAAGCTGACGATAAACAGGATAAAAACATTCATCATTAATTTATACTCCGTTTTATGGAATTTCAATTCCATTTTCAAAAAAAAAAAAAACCCACAACAAACTGTCTTCGCCTTCTTGTAAACACAACCAGACATACACACCCACAGTCTGTCAATTTCGGAAATTCCCATAGTATGCCAGCACTCTCCTCCTTTCTGATTAAAGAGTATGAAGAACTCGCAGACAGACCCCAGTGCATTTGGCATCACGTATTAGAGTGGAGCCGAGACTTCACTGGACACAGCTTTCTCATTATTGCATGCCGCCTTCCCTCTGAGGAAAACACTCAATATAGTGCATAGACACACTGGCACATACAAGCACGCATATACCATGTGCTGTAATACCATAGGCCAACGCTTATGTTTCAGCTGTGTTTTAGTGTCAGTTCTGCCTCGCCTGGTAGGTGAGATGAGACTTGATCAAAGAAAATAAAATGCTAATTGATATGGGTCAGAGGCTAGGGTTTTTTTTAGTATGAAAAGGGACCTGGGTTCAAAATCTAAACTGAATTTAATAAATTGAATTTGCCAGCCAGTTATCATCATGCATTGTTGTTGTATGGAAAAAGACAGCTCTGGCATTTTGATCTAAAGGAAAAAAATAAGAGTATGAAGCAAAATGAATGCTTGAATAGGTAGATGATTTGCAGAATAGCAAATTTAGACGTGAATGTGTGTCTGTCACTTTAAATAAACACATTTTTTATTAAACTGTGCAACTTACAAAGCACAACAATTAGGAGGGCGGAATAGTACTATACATAAAAATAGAAAAAGAAATTCTATAAATAACTACATTTTACTTTCTAAGGATATACTGTATATATTATACTATAAATACATAAACAGATTTTTGGACAAATAAATAACAAAAACTAGTGTTCAGTTCTGACTTAATTTTCAAAGATGCGATTTTTCTTAAAACTTTCATTTAAAAAAACACTTGCCACTAAAATCTCTGGGGAAACATTTAAATGTGTATGACGCTTCTGCACAACTTTGTTCCCCGATCAACCTTGTTGGTGTGCCATCTGTCATTATTACAACAGCACAATATGAAGGCGTTCTGCCTCTAAGGTTATAAGAGCGTGTTGAATATTTATTGTGTTGATCCCCTCACAGGTTCCTGTTCATCATTCTTCTTCTAATAATGCTGAATGTATCGTCTTCATTATTACTGTGAGGCTCACGAGAGCAGTATGCTAAGAAGCCGTGCTATTACACACATTACACACACCCACATGCATCAATATGTTCTCACCCCAGCTATGCTGCTTGAGCGAAGGGAAAGAGAATGAGAGGGAGAAACTGACCGTCTCCTGGAATGATCCGCAGCGTCACCGTGTTTCCAGCCTCTTTGATCAGGTTGACGATATCCGAGTGGGACTTATTGGTGATGGAGCAGCTGTTTACAGCCAGGATCCGGTCTCCGACTTTTAGTTTCCCACAGCGGTCAGCTGGGCTTCCCTCGATGATGCGACCTATTTTATGAGGCATTGCCACACATGCGTTTCCAGCTTTTGGCCAACAGTGATTGAGCATGTATGAGTTTTAATTAAGATGGTTATGGGTTTTTTTTGGTGGGGATGGAGAAAAGGAAACAGAAAGAGAGAAAAAGGAAAGAGAGAATGTGTAGGGGTTAATACACCAAGCCAAAGTGCCAACATTTTCAAAGAATGCCCAGTTACTGCATGGACAGCAAAGGGGGGGTCAACAGCAAGAACGGACATAGGGAATCTGCTGAATTTGGTACTATTAAAAAGCATTTTCATGCTACAGTAGATCACCCTAAGCATAATTTCTGTAGCACTCTTCAGATCCTGTGAATAATCACCATCGCTTTTGAATTATTCATTACATGAAAAAAGGTGTAAACTCTTGAAATTCCCTTAGAGAACTGCACTGTGCTGTAACTCTGCCTATGCAATGAATTATGAAAAATGACTGGGTATCATTAAGATTATTCAAGTTTGCACTTTGTGGTTCCCTTTAGCATTATGCTAAAGATGCTGTTAGCCTTTTAGCTCATTTCTGCCATTTTGCTGAGTTCTACCACACTCCCTCCTTCAGAATCCAGAAAAGTTTGCAAACACAAACTGTTTTCCAGTCTGATTGGCTAGTTTTCTGATGAAAATGACTAGATAATATTACGATTATTCAAGTTTGTGCTTTATGGTGGCACTAAAGGTGCTGTTAGCTATTTTTGCTCATTTCTGTAATTTTGCTGAATTTAACCACATGTCCTTCATTCAAAAATTCACAAACGCATAAAATGTTTTCCAGTCATACAATATCTCTCTGATGGGCTAGTTTTCTGCCCTCCAGACTCATTTCTTTGCCTGTTTTAGGGCTGTCACAGAGACAGATTTGATGTGTCAGGAAACCTCGGTCAAATTACAGGTACATTTTATGGCAACAAAAATAGTCTAAGATACCATTTACACAGAACACTTTTTATTTATTTATAAATAAATAAATAAATAAATAAAATGCAAGGTCTAGAGATGCGTTTTTTAAAAGTTTTAAAAGAACAATTTTTAACATGAACACTGTGTTTTTATAACCAGAAAACAATGGAAATGCAAAAACATGTTATTTATGAACGGCCCCTAAATGAAAACACTTTTCATGTGATGAATCAGGGCTCAGCATCCTTTTTAAAAGTCTCGTTTTTTTTATATATCTGTCCTTTCAACCAACCAATTTTTAGTTGTCATAGCCTGCAAAATATGCATTTTTGATCAATCTAAATGCTGTGATGGCATTTTAGTTAACTATAAAATATTCAGTCAATCTGTCAGGCTTGTCACACTGCTATGAAGATGATTTGTTGTTTGATTGTAATACTAATGACTGAGCTCTGTTTATGCTCTGAGGTCCTCGTTCACAGTAACTCTGGCACAGGAACTCATGCGTTTCATCACTGGAGTAAACGAGTGCCAAGCACTGCTCCCTCGATTTTATTCCTCTCAAACACGGATCTGTCATTCCGCTCTTCCGTCATAAAGCTCTGAACAAAACTCCCACGTGGAGCAATCACCGAGCCTGCTGGATACAGGATACGCTTACGTGAAGGCTGCCAACGGCACTATTGTGAGTTTAAAGAGTGGAAGCATTCTGATGAACATGGTGAAGAAGGATCTGAGTCTGTAAACATGGGATGTCATACTTGATTTGCTTTTTTTCTAACTTGATCTCTCTATCAATTACAATTGTTTAAAAATACTGATAGAAAGTGCTGCTGGCAACTGCTAAGATTAAATGGTGAGATTTGGATAACCTAAATGCTTTTTCACTAACTCGACAGCCATCTTGTGTAATGGAGACGTGTCTGGCTTTGGGAAGTAGAGCAGAAATAGAGCCCCACACACACAGAGGGTGGACATCGACCCCTGCTTCAGGCAGACATTGCAAACACACTGCCTTTCGCAATAAGAAAAACACAGGACATGCAGATTGGCATAAATAGAATATGAAGAACCCACACCCACCAAAAACTGAAATCCACAACCAAAGTGCCATTCAGAGGCAAAGAGCTCCCAGAAGAATGTGAATCTCTCAGTCATTTTCTCTTTTTATAATATAAAAGTGAATATGCAAATATGGGATTACTTTCCTTTTTCTCATTTATGCATTTGACAGACAATTTTATCCAAAGTGATTTACAGTGCTTTCAAGTCATAAATTTTTTAATTTTAAGTGTTTTCTGGGATCAAACTCAAAACGCTGGTGATGCTAGTGCCATATTCCACCAACTGAGCTACAGAAACACTTTTTTACTAAATTGATAGATGAAATCTGCAGACTCACAATTTTATGTGCTGATTTGG